TGTGTCTTTGGTCAATAACAAAAATTGTAGCTTGCTCTGCACCCCTTGGAATGGAGACCGGACTCATAAAAGATGCCCAAATCACAGCCTCTTCAGAATGGGATCCAAACCATGCTGCACTCCAGGGACGATTGAACTTCTTGGCGGTACCAGGGAAGGCAGGAAGCTGGTCAGCTAAATATAATAACCAGGGTCAATGGATTCAAATCGATCTTCTTGCTTACACCAAAGTCACGCGGGTAGCAACTCAGGGAAGAAATGCTTTTGCTCAGTGGGTAACAAAGTATGGGCTGCAGTACAGCGAAGATGGACTGCACTTTATTCATTACCATGAATCAGGGCAGAGTTCACCTAAGGTAAAAAGGGCCATTTGTAGAAGTCTTTTCCTGCCAGGCGCCTTATTCTTATTCTACCAGTGTTTCCATGGCAACTTTTTTGGGGAAAAAACATTCCATACGCTCTCAAATGGCCACCTTGTGGTAAAGACTTTTTTTCTAGTGCGAAAACACTTTTTTGAAGCATTTTTGCCCATGAATGACCAAAATTAGTTCTTTACCTCTTTGGAATAGAGTTTCGTGGACAATTTAAGAGGACAATGGTTTTTCATGACTTCTGCTTACAAAATAGTATAAATATTCATCAATCTTTCTGCATGCTAGAGAGAGATTGAGGTTCCTTTACTTCTTAAAACTTTCCCTCCAGATCTTAGGGCAAGCACCTGACTTCTCTTTTCTCTTTTGACTTCGAACTATGCGTTCTTGCAAAATATTCTGACCTAGACAAAAGAACACTATCTCACATATGACCAAATTTCCCACCACAGATCAAGATTTAAGGTCTCAGATTGTGGTTTGTCATCCGACCCACATTTAAAATGGCATTTCTTTTTAATTTTTAGGAATTTATTGGAAATCAGGACAGCGACACCGTTGTTTATCACCAATTAGTTCCAGCAATCAACGCACGCTACGTAAGGATAAATCCAGTCGCTTGGCACAACCATGTATCAATGAGAATCGAACTTTACGGATGCCCAGGTATTTGTGTGATCACACGTCAATTTCGCCGTTAATACATCTTAGTCACGAATATAAGTCTTTATTATTGAAATGAATTCCTGAAGGTGATAAGAAAGGGTAAACACCATTAAAATCTATGTTCTGATGTTGACTCTTTGAGTTTATGTTTGCAATTTATCAGAGATACAGTGATTTCTTTGTGCAATACCCTTTTCTTAATCACGAAGTTTAAGACCGCGAAAACTGCTTTAAAAAAAATGCCTCTTAAACAGTCACAAACACCAAAGGTATGCTTCACCTGTTGAAAAGGTATTTTAAAACAGACTTGTTATTTTTACACGAAAACTAGCATGTGCAGATCCTGTTGGTATGGAGAGTGGCCTCATCAAAGATTCTCAGATCACCGCCTCTACAGAATGGGATGCAAACCATGCTGCAATTCAAGGAAGGCTTAACTTCCTAGCGGTTCCAGGCAAAGCAGGAAGCTGGTCAGCTCGTCATAATAATCTCAATCAGTGGATCCAGGTCAATCTTCTTTCCTACTCCAAAGTTACTCAGATAGTCACACAGGGAAGAAACGCATTTGCACAGTGGGTAACCAAATACATTTTGCAGTACAGTGAGGATGGAGTTACATTTGTAAGCTATCATCTACCAGGCCAGTTTTCGGCAAAGGTATGGAGACAACCTTCTCTTTCGAAACAAATATTTTTGGGAGAATTTGAAAGTATGCCATGTCTTATTCGCTAGATTCAAATTTTTCGTCTGCCTCTTTGATTTAGGAATTTGCTGCAAATCAAGCAACGGTGGCCAATTTACCATTTCAACTTTGTTGATATATTCATACTATAAAATGTATTTTACGTTACAAAAATACAAGCAACCTCTTAAGAGCGGTGTACTAAAGTTGATAAATGGGGCACTAGAAGGTAAGCTTGAGCCACAAGGGGGTTCTCTCGAACCCGTTTCATTGGGTCGCAGTTCCCACTCAGGCTGCGTTTGAATCAAAATGTTGAAAAGCCATTTTATTTTTCAATAACGAGAACATCTTATACTGGATTAAACGTTTAATTCCTCGTTTTCAGAACCTACCGATCCCGCGATAAATTTGACTTTTACGTAATTTACAGATATTTTGTTGATAACTTTCTAAAGAGCGGGTTTGAATCCATTTCTTATATTTCCACATTTAGCGATCATTGTTAAAGGCAAAGAACACTCAGTAAACAAATGAAACACGGAATTGAGCTGCAACTATAGGAAATGCATCGTATATTGTGCGTAGGATTCATTTCACATAAAAGAATTTTAAGATTTAACTTTTGGGATGGTTGTTTTAATCGTAGGAATTTAGTGGTAATACAGACAGTGACACGATTGTAGTCCATGAATTGATTCCTCCCGTCCAAGCACAGTACATTAGACTGAGCCCTTCAGCTTGGCATAATCATATATCAATGAGAATGGAAGTCTACGGATGCCCAGGTAATCATAAGATTACGCGTGAAATTTGTTTAAAATTCTATAGAGTAGATATAATTGATCATGAATACCCTAATAAAGTACTGATAGAGCACTATTCAGACGCTCAAGCAAATAAAGCTAATTCAAACTAGACCCCTTCTTTGAGATTTTTTGTTTTTGTTTTTAGTGATCGATATCCCTTTAAAAAAAAAACACAGTTTATGATGTACTTGTCAATATTTCATTACTAATCTTGGTTTGAATGTAATTGCTGCCTAAAAGCTAAGCTCTAGAATCGCTAGGTAGAAGTAATGGCTAATTTTGTACCTTTACGCAAGTTATAATTTTTGCTTAAGTTTTAATTTATTTGTGTCTGGTCAATAACAAAAATTGTAGCTTGCTCTGCACCCCTTGGAATGGAGACCGGACTCATAAAAGATGCCCAAATCACAGCCTCTTCAGAATGGGATCCAAACCATGCTGCACTCCAGGGACGATTGAACTTCTTGGCGGTACCAGGGAAGGCAGGAAGCTGGTCAGCTAAATATAATAACCAGGGTCAATGGATTCAAATCGATCTTCTTGCTTACACCAAAGTCACGCGGGTAGCAACTCAGGGAAGAAATGCTTTTGCTCAGTGGGTAACAAAGTATGGGCTGCAGTACAGCGAAGATGGACTGCACTTTATTCATTACCATGAATCAGGGCAGAGTTCACCTAAGGTAAAAAGGGCCATTTGTAGAAGTCTTTTCCTGCCAGGCGCCTTATTCTTATTCTACCAGTGTTTCCATGGCAACTTTTTTGGGGAAAAAACATTCCATACGCTCTCAAATGGCCACCTTGTGGTAAAGACTTTTTTTCTAGTGCGAAAACACTTTTTTGAAGCATT